GTCATCGCTTCTGGGTCACCGGACACACGGAGGGAGAACTGTGAAAGAGCTGAGTTTATCCTTGGTGTTCTGAGATGCAGAACCACGCTCGGGTCTTGTATGCGTGTTTCGGAAACACAGCATACATCGATTTTAGGGGGGTACAAGGTTTCAGCAAGCATTATCTGTTTACCGATTTGACTTAGAGTACGGACGTTAAAGACTACTATATAGGAAGGATCTCGTGGATTTAGGAAGGTGTTATTTTGTTTAATGTTTGCGGGCAGCGAGGAGCCTAAGGCCCTTCGGTGAGATGGCTGACAGTCAAATCGCTCAGAGACGTTCGCTTGTGCAGTGGGAAGGGATTGGGGAGGGACATTGGTGGACACCAAACTGCGCGGTCATATTATACTTCCCGGCTCTTATAAGAGATAAGAAATTAGAAGGGACGACCTTAGCAGCCAAATATTACTGCGGTTTCTGACGAGCAAAGGAGTCAAAAGTAGCTTTGCGACCGAGAAAGACGATCATTGTTGGCAGTCGAAAGGAGTGCCCAGAGTGATACCCAAATAAGCACATGCAGATTCGTATGGGTTGATTTTATCTCAGATTTTCAACTTCTTAAATCAACAAATACTGGAGAGGGACAACCATATTAATTTGAATCTTTTGGTATCAGAATCGTCTGCTTTATGCTATTTCTAACAGAGGAGCAAGTAAAGTTTATTTATAGTCACTATTTGGTGCCACTCATAAGGTCAACGAAAACTTTGGTCAGCTCACTGTTGGTTTCGCCATTCTTGGGACTCAATTTTATTTAGTTCTCATGATGTTTGCCCACAACATCATGCACTAGTTTTTTCTTGTACATTAAGACATTGGGACTAAGACAAACGTTTCAATGAAACGAAGAATTGGAAAAGGAATATTTCGACATATTTACCAAGTAGATTGTAAGGAAACCAAAGATATCTCGGAAATTAAATCTCAAGGTTCGCTCCCACCAGCCTGGGGACCGGTACGGGTTTGGGCGCCTTGATAATGTCCATGAGTCATGTCACTAAAATAATTTTTTCACCAAGTCGTACTTCCGATGCAATCACGTCACATCAGCAATGATAATCGTGCAATTACTGACGCCTTCAGACTCTCCCTATCGGTGCAAATGACATCGACAGTCAAGCAACTTGACGGACAATTTTATGCACGATGGTTAAGCTCTGGTTAATTCTCCTAGTTTACTACTATCTACAATAATTCGGAGAAGTTCTTTCGTCTTCTGATGTAAATCATTAAAATTCCTGGGTTAATTACATTTTTCCTCTTGGCTACCTCAAGGTAGTTACAAACATTATGTGCTACCTTTTCTGTTTCACTAAAACGCCTGGAATTTATCTTTCAATGGTATAACATTTCCCCTGCGGTAAACTTCGCATATTTTCTTCGATAACGTTCGAATTGCATGCCTCAGCAGATTGATGCCACCTGTAAGTCACAGATAAAGCCTCATCATCCGTTTAAATAAATAGCTCGGTTGCAGGAGAAGCAAATTCACATGCAGGCTTACAAAGGCATGCACACATTCATCAGCCCAAACCGAGATATCCTGAACTGTGATGACAAATGCAAGTATCCCTTGCAAGCATGTTGGAACAATTCCACATGTACGAGCGTACAGGACACTTCGCTCCGAGGAGACGAGATATATCAGTGCTTTCGGAAAGCCGTGATCCTTAAGGTGACCGAGTGGTTCTTGTTTTTACCTGAGTTGCTTTGGTTTAGTAGTAATTTTAGGGAGGCAGAAACCAGACGATGTCCAGAAGTCCTACTCGAACCCCTTCCGCGAAAATGGTCCGCCATCTTACACGTAAACAGTGGAATATTTCTTGCCGGGACCTCACAACCTTCTTTGAAGTGTGCGGGGTACAGATCACCAGACTCAGGTACCTCGTTGGTTTGTATGATTTCTATCTGACGCTGAATTACCGGTTGTCGCTAGCGTGCTGTTGTCGATATTACATTTAGGCCCGCTGTGTTATTCCAGTGGTTGTGTTGAAGGAGAGCAACCGAAATGTTCCTCGAAGTGTTCAGTTCATCGCCCAAGACAACCGTTTTGTTCCCATATCGTTTTTCTGACACATCTTTAAACCGGTCGACCGCAGCAGTTGAAATACAGTGATGCTGTTGTCTACGTGAAAGATTCTCCATCTCCTTGGCCTTCAAAATCCACCAGCAATCTCTGTCAATCTTCAAGCTCTTTATTATCCGATGTTTCAAGGATCTGCGTGCTGCGTCACTGCTGCTAGTTGCTGGTATGATCATTTTGGCCGCAATAAGGTCTGTTGTTCTCGATGATATCCACTGTTCATTAAGTCAAGTCATATGGCTTGAACAAACAGTTCTGAGCCGGCTTCTATTGACGCTCTTCATAACTGTGCGTTTCTGGCAGCTTTATAACCGGGTCGGCTCGATAAGCTTGAGCTACTGAAACTTGTCGAAGTTAATGAATGGAGCTGCCCGGCTTCGGCACACGTACTGCTGGTTGAATGCTAACTGCTTACCGGATGCAGACGATGAAATTATCAGAATCAGGTTGCGTACCCCAGAAAGAACAGTGATAATTGATTGAGGCTGTCCATCGGTAACTGATAGCTGTATGGTCCAATCAAGCCCATGACTATCTTGCGGTTGGTAGCCTCCAATTGACTCAATGTGAGCGTTTGTGTTAGAAGTTAGTACTTTCCAGGAATAAACGTTGGTTCGCATACAACCGAAGTAGTCGTTCCCGGCTATCCATACACTGAGCATCGGCTGCAAATGTAGCAACTGATTTTGCTTCTTCCGAACTTAGTCGCCCAAACTAAGCACCCATATCACCCACCTGCCGGGATTACTGTGTCCGTACTTCTTGCCGACCAAAGCATTCGCGACGATTCTCGATGAAACCCGTCCTTTTCAGTCTCAACTGGAATCCCTCGGGGCGTATGTTGATATGACAAACAAACAAACAAGCGCAAGCCTTGTACAGATAGACAAGATATATGTGGCTCCATAACTCTGCTTTCCAGGCTGCTTTGTACTGTTTTTCAGGTCTTTTTCATCAAATTAACGGTGATCATTCGGTGACGACTGGAATACAGTGTTTTCATGTGGGACTGCTTCAACTTAGTTGCTAACTGCTTCCCGTTGAAGAGTATCACTGCTGTAGTGATGATTTTTTTCGTTTTTTTTAAGAAACTCGCCCGTTTACCATTGACTTGGATTATGTCCTCTGGTAGACTTTATTGACTGAATATGTTCACGGCGTCACCATAAACAGCTACCAAACCCTGTGTTTGTGAAAATAAATGTTCGAGAAAACCCTACGAACGGTGCTTTATCCAAAGCGAAATTATACACGCTCCTATTCAAGTCATTTGGGAAGCTCGATGGCGGCTGCCTTTTGTTCAATGATTATTGCAAACGTAACCTGTCCTTTTGCTTATCTTCCCCAACGCATTTCGTAAACAGGTTGCGCACCAGGTGGATCAATTAAAACTGCTTCTTTCTGAAACTGATTAGTTTGTTCAACTGAAACCGAGGCTTACAATATTCCGTGGTTGTTGATTGCCACACGTTTCGGAAACCTTGTCCGATGAGGAATATAGTGCCGATGTAAACGCGTGGTACATTGCATACTTATTGGAATCCACACAGTTACGTACGAAATCGGCATAAACAGTTGCATCTGCAAGCCAATCTAACTATTAGAACCTTTCAGCCTCTAGGCACTCACCTTGTTTCATTGCAGAACGAGCGAGAAGGGTTATTCCCCTGGTTCATGCGTATGGGTTTTGGTGGAGATTTTATCCTGTAAATGAAATCAGCCTATGACAAAATGCTAAGAAGTACTAGAGACGGTTTCAAACTCATTGGAAATAATCAAATCAAGGTAAATCAAGGTTATATTGGTCTAAAAAGCATTTTGCTTTACAATGACCAAAGGATATTGGTGTGTGTGTATGTATACAGATAAACGGAATGATATGACATATATGTTCTATTGTTTGTAATCTGCATCTCAAATGTTGATGAGGGAAGTTGGGTGAGATCTTATGTATTCGTCAAGCGAATGTTTGAAAGTCTCGAGGTTACCACAATTCACAACAGATGTTGGTAGTTTGTTCCACGTAATAGAACTACAACCGCCCTCCCGACTAATAGCTGTACATTAAACTGTTCAGCCATGTTACGAGGCAGTTTTTAGTTCTTCCACAGAAACGTGACAAAAATATCAACATTTTTGACGCAATGCTGCTACCTTCCTTGGAGGGAAGACAGGATGTTGATCGGCTGGTCCTGTAAACCGAGACTTTTCGACCACTTAAAGATTGACACTGACATACAGCGCATCAATCCATCCGGGAAATGTAAAGAGAAATCAGTAGTTTGGTGTTGCACGAAAATGTCAGCTATGTACAATAGTAATGACAGTCACACTCCTATGTATTACTCTATGTAAACCAACATTCTGTCCACACCTACCGCCCTGTGAGTCATGCTCTGAGATCAAAGGATAGAAATAGAGTCTCCTACTTCCAATCCCAACAAGCAGAGGCGTCAGCACTTGAATAAGCCGACTACCAAAAATGAAGTGAGACCCTTTTCCACGCGATCCACCGGTTCGGAATCTGTGCCATCTTGGAAAGCGTTCTTAGTCCCTTGGATATCCGAAAAAACGTACACGCTTCTAACCGAGCAACAGTTGAATTCATACATTGGCGGTGTTATTCCTTGACCCTAGGGCTTTTTATTCCCGAGCCTTCCTCGCAAAGGCTACGTCTGTGAGGAAGCAGTCAACTTAGACCTTTTATTACGTATCAGTGTAGTTGGTCTTAAGTGAACTAAGAGGTTAAAAAATCAGTTCATTACTAAAATTTTGATGACGCACACCCTTCTCCTAGATAAAGGGAATTATTTCTCACACAAGGGCGATCAACAATGACCAACTTATTGGTGTTTTCTATTCCGAGACTGCACGTTCTACACTAATATAACAAGAAGGCATACCCAGGCGTATTTACACACGCGGTCTGAGGAAGACCCACGTTCTCTTGTACATTCTCTTGTGGTTGTCAAGGCCATGAATGTCTATAAACAACGCTCTAGTATGAATAACACGGTTGTGGCCACTTAGCTACCAAATCCACTATTAGAATGGTTTCTTGTGTTGATCAGTCCTATAATATCACTTCAGAGTTGGACGAGAGAAAAGCCTTTCAAAAATTACGGAAAACGCCATTCTCTCGAGGACATGATGATCACCATGACGCTGTCCAAAGTCAGTATCACGTTGTCTACGTATTATAGGTCATCGGAAAGTTCTTCTAGAGGTGAATTGACGTACACAGCACACTCGATGAGTCTTGAGACAAACATACCAGCCACCAAATGAGTCACGGCTAAGTTCACGACCAGTGTCGCCGGGTCTGACGTCACTTCGTCAAACTTTTGATTTCTTCAGGCTGTGAAACATCCTTTGCAAAGCTGGAAAGCCATTCACAGACATTGCTTCACTGGTTGATGTTTCACGAGACCTCAGATATGCGGTAACGTCAGGCAAAACCATACAAGGCTGCCAATTCATCAAACTTATGATTTCTTCAGGCTGTGAAACATCCTTCGCAAAGCTGGAAGGCCATTAACAGACATTGTTTCACTGGTTGATGCTTCACGAGACCCCAGATATGCTGAAACGTCCCGCAAAACCATACAAGGTTGAAGCAGTTGGTGGCTGATTCATAGCCCCACGAGATCCTACCAAATTATCAGTAAGCAATGCAAATTCTTAAGAACAGCGTTGGTCCAAGGCCCAAAAGAACAAAAAAACTCTCTCCATACAAAATTAATTAACGAAAGATTTACGGAACCAGTTGGAAAAAAGGTTAGTAATGCAGTGAATTTGGTAAGTTGTGGAAAGGACTTAAATGACTTTAGGGTTCGCTTTGACGATTGTGCTTATCATTTTTAGGTACTTAAGGACGATTCAAGCTCTAGACGGAAGCAGATGAGCTGAAAAAATTCCAGCCTGAAACTTCTGCTAGAGACATCCAAAGAACTTGCTTCGTACTATCCATTGTCGATTGAACTGGTCGATGGTTGGCGAGCGTATAGACTGCTCAGTAAAAATCTTGACAAAATCGACCAGATCGGACGTCATGTGAAAGCTTAGATTTGGTTGCATAATTAAAAATCCACAAAACGTTGCTAGGGCAGAAAGATGCACTTGTACACCCGAAATCACCGAGCCGTGTGACTTGAAATTTGCCGACAATCTGAAGCTCCGGTCAACATTATTGTCTAGCTTGAAAATGGGGATATCATATGCCACCCTCTTCAGGGCCAAGTACGCGCCAAATTCAGTTGTCGACTGAACGAGTAACATATCGTGGCACCCACAAAACCATTCCCAACTGTGATAGGAAATATGTACGTGCTCGGACTCATTGACAAAGAACAAGATGGCAACGTGCTTTTCCAAAATTTTGTTGTCAGTTACTTTCAAATCTATAACACATTTGAGGATGCTTATTCGCTACTGAAAAGTAGCTCAAGTTTCTCTGATCACAGTCACAAGGAAAGGAGAATTTGATGTTAAAACTGAAAAATTCCCATTTGAGGAACTCTGCATAAAGCAGACCTCTTGCAAAAGATTAGACCATTTTATTAAGGAAGGCAAAATCCGCCCTAGACGAAGAAACCCCTGCATGCAAAGGGTTTAGGAGCTCAAATTACCTATGTTCCAAAACCCACACGTATCGGAAGCTGCTCAAAAGTGAGAGGACTTCCGATTCATTGACTTTTATTATGTGCAGTATGCTGTTCGGTATCAACCGAAGTTAATACAGTACACTAGCAAAGCAATGACACTTGTCCGATAGTTATTAGGTCAAACCAAACGGAACACAGTCATTCCAAAGTGCAACTACTTGGTACTGTGAAATGACTTTGTGAAAATTCCCCGTCCCGGTAACTCAGGTTTGGTTGTTGGTATTATTAAAACGACGGATTTAAACAGCCATGGTTACGTCTACATTGCCGAAACCACAACAGACTAATTCCACAGCAATCTGGTTTCGATTACATTGCTTATTATGATATCGGTTTTGCATTAAACTGATTTGATTTCCTGTTTTCGCTTCCAGCGTTTGCAGTGGTAAAACAAACCATTTGGCTGAATCTGTAAGCTTAGTTGGCATATAAACAGAATCAGTTTTATTAATCAACACTGAAAAACGTCCCTTTTTTTCGTAGAAACGTCCAGTAGATGCCAGCTCTAATCTTTGAGTTGTTTCGTAGGGGACAGCGTTATGAAATCCTTAGGTGATATGACATATTCCCTATTCCGCATATCCCTCCTGCAGAATCACACCAGGTGTACGAATTCCGTTAGTTTGTTTTTTAAGACGCCAACAATCACGTCCCTTCTGCTTCACTCATGAGTAACTACAGAATGCTGTCCTGCCAGCCTGTGCAAGTCCAATGAACCGAAAACAGCTCCGGGTAGGTTACCTTCTGATTATACATCGTGAATTTGTGCTGACTTACCTAGATTCGTATAGCCACTCTTCTGAGAACTCCGATACTACACATATGGTGTAGATACTGTTGTGTTGCCGGACTGTTTGGCAGACTAGCGTGTTGCTTACTGTCCAACTTACCAGGCAGCGGTGACAGAGAATGAAGCTGACCCGGACGGCAGTAGTGCGTGTGAGCAAGTGACAAATGTCGACACGTCGTGCATCACGTGAACCAATCATGGCAACCAAAAACGCATATTAGACAAGGTCAGCTGCTGACGACGGCCGATGCCAACAAAGTTGAGTACGTGCATAGACAAACTGCTTAGTCGACTACTCTGGCTTACTCCGACACTGCACCCATAGCCATCAATATGACTTTCTGCCAAGATAGATTGCTTAACAATATAGCATCTGAGGAAATGAAGAAAAGGGAAACGATCTTGGAATAGCAATCAATGTGACTTTCTGCCAAGATAGATTGCTTAACCATATAGCATCTGAGGAAATGAAGAAAAGGGTTAAATTGTAGAACCCTTTCGGTGCCTATCTGCCATGCCACCCAAAGGAAGCACGAGGGTTGGGATACTGCCAAATTGTCCAAGCCTAGATAGGGCGAGTCGAGAGACACAGGTCGGGTTCAAATGACGCACGTTCCCCAAATGACGCACGTTTCGGTCAGTAAATTCGCGCTCTGTCCACTGAGCCATTTCGCCATAGCATCTGATAGCTGTATATAAGATAAAGAAGCTCGAAGCCTACCTAGCAGAAAATTTTGTTTAGGCGTTTGGATTTTTTTACATTCTATATCAGTTGACCAAACGTCTCCTCAAGAGAGATAAAGGATAAAAGCAGCCCATGCCCGTAAGTGTCTGAAAGGTGATGGATATCCTAATGTATTTATCGGAATGTACTCTAACCAGCCTGGCCGTAAAGAATTCGTCCTCTGCGCAATAAAAAAGGGGAATCGGTCGGAGTTCAAAGAGGATGAGGTAACGGACATCTCGAAAACTCTATAGGACATATATTTTCAAAACACCCAATGGATTAGGTCGCCGGCGAGTTGCATACGGTCTACAGCGTTTTTAGGATTTCCGTTTATTTTAACTGATACTTCATTCTCTTTGAGAACCAGTTGGATGCAGTACTTTTCAGTACCAGGAGAACAGATTCCTCTGGACAGGGTGGATTGAAGTACGATCTGATAAGTGAATCCGGATACTTGCAATTTATCAACAACAATTGACAGGCTACAAATTCTACAGGTATGATTCCAGTTGTGGAAGCTCATATGGATCTTGAACAGAAGGAAATGGTTGAACATTGACCCCGTTGGTTATGTGTGGATGATGAAAGCACCGAGGAGGTTCATTGTTAAGAGGTCGATGGATTCACAGTCTGTCCACAATTCATTTGTCTCCCGTATATTCTGTAGATTCAGTCTGTGCACAATTCATTTGTCTCCCGTATATTCTGTCTACAGGCGTAGCGGTCCCTGTTGTGTTAGACTGATGCTGTACCCATCAGGCTGCTGAAACCCCAAATTGGTTTGGCAGTACCCTGGTAGATTTAGCACCAGGATTACATTGCTGCTATGATAC